TTTCAAGGAGACAGTTAAACAAATACTGAAAACGAAAAGTGGAAATCAAGTTTTGAGCGTCAACAACTGGGTGGCAAGACCGGAAGAGGGATTTCTCTTCAACTCCCAAGCGGTTGTGGACTGTGAACCCCATTAGTGAACAGGAAAGAAATTGTCGAGGTCAGCTCATGGCTTAATCCTGTTTTCTCTTGGGTTTAAGGGATACACCCGTTATACACTCTGAAAAATTGCTTCTGTTTCAAAAACTCTAGAGAGTTTTATTCCGGTATATATAGTTAATTGTTCCCAATTTTCACTTTTCCATAAGGAATTTCTGGCTTCATTATAATCCGAAAAAGGTGGCTGCCAAAAAGTAATATGTTTTTAGTAAGTAAAAATTTTTAACTAAATAGTTTTGTGAATATAAATTTTTAAAGTATAAAAATGTCACAAAAAAATATAAAGGTTATTGTTTTTTATATATATGATTATAATATAAAAAGGATAGTCCTCTTTCATGGTCAACTCTCTACTCATTTGATTCGAAATTTGAATTTGGGATTTTTAATTTTAAATTTTAAATTTTTAATCATTTAATCACCCTATCAAAGTTATGAAGAACATTAATAAATCAACAAGTATAAATAGTTTATTAATAATATATAAATAATTTTATAAAAATCAATGCACAAGTTAATTTGGTAAACATTTTTTTAAATAAATTTTCATTCGTCAAAATTTTCTTATTAATACTTACAACATGAAAAATAAATAAATCAATATTCATAAATCATTTCAAGAAATCATAATGGCACCTCTATATGGTGTTCACTGTAAGGCCAGTTTCACATATAAAATTCGCAATTTATACAAGAAAGATAGTTCAACTGCACTTGTTGGCCTCTTGGGCAGTAAGAAGAGTGTACCATTCCCTGTCAAGAACTGGGTTTGACACACTCCTCCCCTAATCGTAATTAGTATTTAAAAAAAAAATAGTCAAATTAACTAAAACAAGGATTACAAGTTTTGATCTTCCGCCTGCACAATATAAGTTTTGATTGTCGCATTTAAACATTCTTTTCTGAGCATTTTCATACACATGACAAGTGAAGTCCTCCATTGAAATCATTTGGTAAATCTGGAAGGAAGTACCCAAAAAAAAAAAAAAAAAAAAACCTTTAATTAATATACTACTACGTAGCAGTAAATAAAAATCATCAAAATCATGCAACCCCACTTGATGATCTCGAGGCTCCCATCATCACAATTCCATCATGGCCATCAATCTTTGACCACTTTTTTTGTTCAGAAAATGTCAAGAATCTCGAGGATTGATCGGTTGCAGAGGGGACAGGAGCCTCGATTCAACCACACTTCCCTCGAACACACCCTGCAAAACGTGTGCCCACATGGGATGAACGCTGCTCCTTTCTTCCTCCCCATGCACACGCAGCACACCCAATCATTCCCTTCCGGCGCCGTTCCCCCGCCTTTTTCCTCCTCCGCTTCTCCGCCCCCCGTTTCCTCCAGCAGCCTCATCAATGACACCCTCATTGGCGTCCTCGGTGCTACTGCGGGCTCGATGTCGTTGTTTCCGTTTTCCGTTGGCCCCACAACCTCCCCTCCCTCCGGTTCTTGCGTTGCCCGGAAATGTCGCTCTGCTGCTAAAGCCGCAGCTAGATTCATACCCGATGAAACCGGAGTCGTTTCCGTACATTCCGGATCCGATCCGTTCTCTGCTCGGATTTGAACCGAACTTACTACTGTTTCCACCTGGTGACTTTCACTCTCATATCCGTCGTTGTCATCTCTGACGCTCATATTAGTCGACCGGGAGGCCCAGGTAGCGCCACCACAACAGCCAATCGCTCCAAGTCCCAGCCGTTCTTTAAAACTCCGTCGTCTCCTCTCTCCACTGATGCCGTCCATCTGCTCTCTCAACAGCCTAATTATTGTCGTCACCGACCCTCTTTCTCTCCCCGTCGATTCCTGCAATATCACCCTGAGTTGACTCATCTTAGCACGAATTCACAAAAAGCAAGAGATATACTGACACGAGAACAGAGAACACTGCTGCTAAGAACACATACGAAATGAGAAGAAAGAATGTGAGGACCGTTATTAAGGAGACGACATAGACATACTAACGCATGGAGGCCCCGTGAGTTACTTCAAAGAGTTAAAGCAATGCCCACCTCTCTGCGTTAATTCAAGACGGCTGAAAATGACAAAACGGAGAAGAGACGAAATGGGGTCCTAAAGGAAGCAATGCAGAATGGCTGAGCGGAGTAATAAATAGCTCCAGCATTTAATATAGCTTTAAATTCCTTCTTTGGTTTCAAGTTTGAGGAAGGAGAGCAGGACAAAATGGAAGAAGAAGAAAAAGTGGGGAGGAGGTTTCTTGTTTGGTTGCTTTTCTTGGAGTTGGAGGAAGAGAAAGGAACTGAATTGTTAAATTTTGATTCTTAGAGGTGGGAAAGTATGAAGATTAAATCAATTTCAGTTAACGTGATTCTGTTTTTGTTATATAGAAAAATATGAATTCGCCGGCTTTAACCAAGTCAAAAGGCCACCTCAACCGGCGCGCATATCGACATATCCAAACAGACCTACAGCATTCAGAGATGCATATGAGATGTATACAGTAATTCAAATTATATAATTTTTTTTAAGGATTTACTTATATGATAGGTTAATAGTATAATTAATATAAAAAATAATATTAATTAAAATTAATTTAATCATTAATATTACATATATTATTTTAATTAGATAATAAATTAAATAAATATTAAATTTTATTTTTTTAATGATAATTAATATTAAAAATGTATTCTTAATTTACATTCTAAAGATACAAAATAAAAAAAAAAATTTTAAAGGCTAATAATAATTAAAAATTAGTTTTTTTTTTTTGAACATTTTGTCATGGGGCCGGCTCGAACCGTTGTCCTGAAAGAGGAGGACATGAACCTTACAAGCGTGACTGGAGCCACTTGACCCGAAAAGTCAAATTCAATAATTAAAAATTAGTTGAGTTGGACTCATAGCAAGATTTATATCTACTTTCTTTCTCAATTATCTAGAAGACTTCTTAAAGTAAGTTTTGTCAAATGGTGAGATACCATGTAAAAAATGTTAGAAACGCGGGTCCCTCCATTATCAATACTCGTCATAGACAAGTGCTAATTTGCTAAAGGTCCACATTTAATCAAAGAAACATAGAATTGATCAGGTAGAATTAGAATGTTAGAAACGCGGGTCCCTCCATTATCAATACTTGACATAAACAAGTGCTAATTTGCTAAAGGTCTACATTTAATCAAGGAAACATAGACTTGATCAGGTAGAATTAGTTGGGTTGGACTCAAATCTAAATTTAAGTAAAAATTATAATGCCATTATTGATAATATAAGAAATGGGGAATCTTATATAAAAAATTCAAATACTTGTCATCATAGTCAATAATCTACAAGGACCTACCCTTTATAATCTTTTACTTTATTAGTCTCTTAACAAATGATTGAGTCTAATTCCAATCATTCATGGTGCCTCCATATGAAGGCCATTAGGAATTAGACATATCTCCTCCCACACCAAAACCTGCCCCAAATGCCCCACAGAGGGAATAATACAGGTTTCATAACTGTCATGCTGACCACTGTCTATCTATCTATCTATCCCTCTATGGAACTTTCCTTTCCATTTCATTTTTTGGTAAGATATCTTTGTCATGACATAAAACTTTCAATTGAACAAGTTCTATTCTGATTCTAGCCAGAGCAATCAAAGAAAAAAGAAAAGTCAAGCACTAAAGCCTCCAAGTATGTCTCATGCCAATTTGTTTACGGCAAATCAACTAATCATTCTCATAATTTTGCTAGTCTAGTGGTTAAAAATACACATATAACTAATTTTTCAACTAAAGTCAGAAAATACTTTTGGTTAGTCATTATAACTTTAAAGGGCATATTATCTATGAATCAGGCAGATGTAAACATAAGTACCTGCATTTTTTATGTTGGTCAACCCCCACTAGATCAGCTGCCAGATTTACTGAAGGAGAAGAACCACGTTATGTTGTGTCATCAAGCGCTGATGACCACATCATTCTAGTTCTTTAGGTTTGACTTTGATGTTTCGGCCACTTCATCTCTTTTAGGTAAGCAACCCGCAACCACCAGAGGTCCAGAGCAGTACCCTTAGTTGCTACCAAACGAACTGCATGATAGTGAGTAGACTGATTTGAGTATTGATTCAAACAAGAAGATGTCAACAACATCCTAATCTTCAAGCAGCCAACCAATATACTTTTATTAGTAACTTTCATAAATCATCAGTTTTTTATCCACAATCCTCCAGTAGTCTATTATCAATGTATCTCAAACTATGACTTTATGTGGTAACTTAGACAGGTTGTTCAGCTTGAGACTTGAGAGTGTACTTACATGGAACCAGTCAAGCTATATGCTGGAATTTTCCTGATCCCAGCCTCTACCATTGCTTTCCTCAAATCTGCAGCCTGATCCCATCTCTCTAAGTCAGCATTTAAGCTTGATAGCAACACATATTGCCCACAATGTTGTGGCTGTAATTCTAGTAGCCTTTTTCCTACTTCATTCCCTAGCTCAATAGCCCCATGAGTCTTACAAGCGCCTAAAAGAGCCCCCAAAACAGAACCATCAGGTTGAAATGGCATCGTCCTAATAATCTCAGTTGCTTCATTCAAAAGACCTGCTCTGCCCAATAGATCAACCACACAACCATAGTGTTCCATTATTGGTAAAACTCCATATTTACTTACCATTGACTTGAACAATTCCAAACCAAACTCCACAAGATTGGTGCGAGCACAAGCTGTTAGAACAGCAACAAATGTGACCTCATTAGGATGCACTCCTTCGAGCTTCATGTTCTCAAACATGTTTAAAGCCTCCTCCTCTTTGCCACTTGAAGCAAGTGAAGAGATCATTGCATTCCAAGTACAAACCTTTTTAGCAATCATTTTACTAAATATTTTCCTCGCACTCTCTAAACAACTTGTCTTTCCATAAAAATCAATCAAAGCTGTCCCTGTATAAACAGTCAGAGCCTCATTCCTAACAACGTACCCATGAATCTGCTTCCCTTGATAAAGACCGATTCCCCCATCTAAATTAGCACAACAAGAGAGTACGCTAACAAAAGTAGCTTCATTTGGCTTCACCAAACAACCCATCCCGACCTCACCAACCGTCACCATATTCTCGAAAACCTGAATCCCATCGCTAAACCTCCCGCTTCTCACAAACCCATTAATAACACTCGTCCAGGACACCACATCACGCTCCCTCATGCTTTCAAATAGCGAAACAGCAGAACCCACATCGCCATTCCTCCCAAAAGCATCAAGCATTGCATTACACGCGACAATGCACGGGTTCAGAATTTCCTCAAACACCTTGCACGCATCATTCAGGTGACCAAGTTTACCATACACACCAAGCAATGATGTTTGCACAAATGGGTCGACCAACACCCCGCGCTTGAAGGCCTGGGAATGGAGGGGTCTACAAGGAGAAGATACGAGTTTGAAGAGGGGAGGGAAGGTATGGCTGTTGGGGATCACTCCATGGGCGAGCATTTGGGTGAAGAGCTGAAGGGTACAACGAGGAGGGGAGATGTTTAAATAAGCCCTTATTAAGGCGTTGTAAAGGAGAGTAGTCCTCCATTTCCAAGGGGAAGAATTCTGCAGATTATTGAGGAGAAGATGATTGGCGACGAGGAGGGAGTGAATCTGTTTGATTTGGTTTGGGTGTTGGATGAAACGCTGGAGAAATTGGAGGAGAAATTCGGAGGAAGCCGGCATGAGTGAAGGAGAGGCCCAATTTAACAATATTCATATTTATCTAGACCCATGTTGTTGATGGGTTGAACTGGAGCACCGTAGCCCATTAGTATAATCCTGCAAAATCTCGTTCTGGAGAACTCTTTCGAGATTTGACCCACTAAAGTTTAACAACAAGGGAACAGAAATGAAAGTAGAAATGTAGAATGAAAGCTTTTTATTTTTGTGAGGAGCACAAGTAGAATGAAACTGCTTTCTCAGTTTTAACTTTTAACTCTTGGATATTTGCTTGGCAACAATGTAATGGCCTAGTGTATCATTTTTTTGTTTTAATGAAAGTAAAATATTATGAGTTCAAATTATAAATATAAAATTAAAATGTATTAAGAGATGAAAAACAATTATTTTTTACTATATTATACAACTTTTAAAAAAATAAAAATAAATAAATAACACTCATGAATACTTGGTTAAAACATGTGCAATTTAATGAGGATTAATTACAAAAGAGTATGGGATAAATGAATTTTTATTACCCAAAACTACCATTGTACAATTGAGATATTAGTTGGTGAAAATTAACTAAATAGAGACAAATGCAATATTAAATTTCCTTCTCAGTCCCGCTAGTATCTTCACTATCCAAAGTTGTTATATGTGTTATTGTATACATTGTGTTTCTCCTGAAATTATTTTGTTCAAACTGGAGTCTGCTCCTTGTAAGCTCGTCAGGGAGAAGAACTCTGTGAATGATTGAGGAAGAGAATACAGGAGACGAAAAGAAAATGGATTATACTTGATTTGGCTGGAGAAAATGAAAATGATATATATATATATAATTACAATTTGTGACATTATATATTTATAATTATAACGTATTATTATATAATTAAATATTTTTATTTATAAAATCACATATAATATTATATATGTTTATTTATTTAATATCATATTATATTATCATTGAACAGCTACAATATATTCTCCGCAACATTGTACCTATAGTACTTCAGTGGAGAAAATGGATCAAAATCCATATCAGTTATTACAATTTGTGACATTATATATTTATAATTATAACGTATTATTATATAATTAAATATTTTTATTTATAAAATCACATATAATATTATATATGTTAATGATTGAGGAAGAGAATACAGGAGACGAAAAGAAAATGGATTATACTTGATTTGGCTGGAGAAAATGAAAATGATATATATATATATAATTACAATTTGTGACATTATATATTTATAATTATAACGTATTATTATATAATTAAATATTTTTATTTATAAAATCACATATAATATTATATATGTTTATTTATTTAATATCATATTATATTATCATTGAACAGCTACAATATATTCTCCGCAACATTGTACCTATAGTACTTCAGTGGAGAAAATGGATCAAAATCCATATGAGTTTTTGCAAAAGTGAAAGATATGCCTGACGAATATGAAAGATTTTTTCTTTTTTAAGTATTATTTATTTTTCAAAAATTAAATCTAAGAGGAGAAAAAAAAAATAAAAATATCTTGACTCTTAAAATATTAAGATTTTTTGTAAAATTAATCTTTAGTGCATGGCTCATATGGTCACAGTGTGAGTGTTCCATTCACATCATGACCGGGATTCAAACCCCCTTATTTCTCATTCTCTCTCTCCCTACCCTCAATTCCCCCAGTACAAAAAAAAAAAAAAATTTGTAAAATTATTTAAATACAATTTATAAAAAAAAATTTATATGTTGATTTATTAAAAATATTTTAATTTTTTTTATTATCAGTTGAAATATTTTAATTATTAAAACATCTTAATTTTCTTTGATCCCATAAAAAATGAGCATATAGTTGGATACAAAACAAGGAATGGCTTTGTTTTTTTCCCGTTGTCTTTACTTTCTAGAAAACAACTATTTAAGGAAATGATCCTATATCAATTAAAACTTATTACTAATCCAATAAAGTTATCAACATTGCGAGATTAGTTTCAAGATATAAAAGCTAGTCTAAGGATTCTACACCTGTAAATACCAAAAAAATAAAATTAGTTAAGGTGCTTATTATTATTAAGGAAATAAAATTGAGATTTGAAATCGAAAATCGTATCAACTAAAATCTTTTACCACAAAAGAAATTAATTACAAGGAAATGATATAGTTACATATCTCATAGGATTGGAAGTTTATAATGATGATGTGGTAAATAAGTAGACACATATCATTAAATGAGTAGATACATTAAATATTACGGGTCATACATAAATTAAAAGAACCAATAATTTCAATAATATGTCAAGTTGTATTAAAAGATGATACAAAAATTGTCTCAAAATTATTTACCATATTATGTATGTCTCTAAATAAAGAAAATTAAGTATACAATAACACATTATGATTGTAAATTTATAATATAATGCAACTTTATAACTAAGGCAATGATTAGTAAATAATTTATTTATACAATTTTTATTCGTAACTTTTACATGTCATTATATTAATAGATATATATAATATCACTCACTAATCATAAAATAATAAAAATAATTAATTATTAAATAACATATAAAATTATATAAAAAATTATTTCTCTTACAACTATAATATTGTTGTTAATTATAACAAGGTGACATGATAGTCATGTGGGCGTGTCATGTTGCATTCTAAGTAATTATTGTAAAATATAGTTATCCAAAAAAAAAAAGGTATTTTTTTTATTTACCATACACAATAACATACTTATAATTATATATAAAATTATAAAAAAAATTTAATCAATTTGTAATTATTTACCGGAGTAATTGAGGGATGGGAGAAAGGGTTTCAGTAAAGTTCGAATGTACAACTTATTGAAGGTGAACAACCCTAACCCAGGATCCAATATCATTAGATCAGAATGAACCGTTCTATAAAATTATAAATTTATAACCATATGGCAAGCTAATACGTATGGTGATGATGGCAACCTTTTTGCGAACCTCATTTCCATTTGCTATTACACTACAAAAAATTTTTCTGCCAACAAAGGCTTTGTTGGTTTATTTTTGCCCACTTGGTTTATTCACTCATCGACATATCAAAAAACCTATGCGTCATCGAGAAGTTTTGGGTAAAATAATTGATTACTTTCTCTATATTACCTTTCTCACCGGATTTTAATTCAAATCTTTCCAATTTCTCATCTACGCAAGGCAACTCTGTTCATAAAAAAAAAAGGGAGAAATGTTTTTGAAATAATTTTTTAATTATTTTTTAACATAATTTAATATATTATTTAAATAATTAATTTTTATTTATTTATATGAAACTTGTAATATTAAATAATATATAAAAAGAGTTAGTGTTGGTTCATTTTACCTTCAAAAAATTAGAAGAAAAAATAATAAAAATTATCTTAATGCATATTTTAAAAATATGGTAGTTTAATCTTTTTCAATAAAAATTTATTGAAACGACATAATTTTAAAATAATTTTTCTCATAATTTTTAAAAATTAAGACTGATAGGTACTATTTTTTATATAATATTGTATAAAAAATAATATAAAAAAATTATCAAAAAAAACCTATGCGTCATCAAATGCACGCAAGGTCCCACAGTCCTCACAAACTACAAAGTAAACACGCAAACCTCCCGAATTACCCCGTTAGTAGTTAATACTTGCATGGGAAGTGAAGGTCTAAATAGTCATTTAATTTCCCATGCGCGACGTATTTCCGTATTCCCAGAGCCAAAATTTTAGACGGTGGCAATGGTGCACGTTCACGCTTTTTAGCAGTCCCGTTCTTCGTCCTTAAACTTCTGTCCTCTTTTCTTCCAAATCTCTGGAGCTAAGAAAATATGGCGACAATCTCTCAATTTAATCTATCTACATGGATGAGTTTCTCATGTTCTACTCCAAAACAGCACAGGTTATGCATAAAACCGGTGTTTCGGGCTTTGAATTCGATCAAAGCAACTCGGAATCCGGTGGAGAAACTTCAAGTTTGGTCCCAAGAGTCCGTCCTCGGGAGACCCGTGTTCCGGCTCCGTGCCGTGGAGCATGACGAGGAGCCGATAAATGAGGTGGCAGCGGCGGCAGTGGCAGTGGCAGAGGAGGTGAAGCCTGAAAAGGATTCGGAGATTGAGAGCTTGAAGAGGGATTTGGTGGATTCCTTCAATGGGACTGATCGTGGGTTGAGTGCTACCAGTGAGATCAGAGCAGAGATTGTGGAACTTATCACTCAACTCGAGGCCAAGAACCCGACTCCAGCACCAACTGAGGCCTTGACTCTGCTGAATGGGAAATGGATTCTCACGTAAGTCCCCTGTTTGGTTGCTAAGAAAATGTTGGAATAACCCTGTAAAGTAGAAATTAAATCATTTTTGTGTTTCTAGGATTATTTTATTTTATTTTATTTTATTCTATTTTTGTGGGACAATTGACACCCTCCTCCTCCTGGGGAATGAGAGTTCGAACAATTTTGTCAATAGTTTGGTCAGTTACTCTACCGGCTTTACTCTGTTTTTCAGATTGTTTGATTTTGGCTTAAGGTCGTTCTTTCCAGGTGACTAGGGTCATTTTGCTGGTGGTGCAGGTATACATCATTTCCGGGTCTGTTCCCCTTGTTGTCTAGGGGTCCGGTGTTGGCAAAGGTGGAGGAAATATCACAAACCATTGATGCTGAAAATTTCACAGTGCAAAACTCTGTTCTTCTATCTGGACCATTGGCTACCAGCTCCATAACTACCAACGCCAAATTCGAAATCAGAAGCCCGAAGCGAGTACAGGTATTGTCATTTAGAAGCACCGTTGAAGCTCTTGATCTGACTTTTAAATGATATGATATTTTTCTGGTTTCTGTCTTGATGTAGATCAAATTTGAAGAAAGCATAATTGGAACTCCCCAGCTGACAGACTCCATAGTTTTCCCAGAAAGTGTGGAGTTTCTGGGACAAAAGTTTGATCTCAGTCCCTTGAAAGGCTTAATCACTTCTGTGCAAGACACAGCTTCATCACTAGCAAATACTATTTCCAGCCAACCGCCAATTAAGTTCTCTATCTCAAACAGCAATGCTGAATCTTGGCTACTAACCACCTACCTCGATGAAGATCTTCGAATTTCAAGGGGTGATGTTGGGAGTGTCTTTGTGCTCCTCAAAGAGGGTAGCTCGCTCTTGACACCATGAAAACAAAACTGCATCATGAACTCTTAAGATTTTGAATTTTCTTGTTTTTATCCCTTTTTTGTTCTCTACTTTGCATCAAGGAAACCCAATGAGGAATTCTTGCATTGATAAATAAATATTTTGTGGTTATGAATTTCAAATTAAGGTACGTTGTGAGTCTATTAGATGCCATTTGATTACGTTGTGAGTCTATTAGATGCCATTTGATTCATTCTTCCAGCTAGATATTCTTATATCACAAGCATTTTCTCCCCCAATAGTGCTTTTAGGCCAAAGAATCCCTATAGTGTGGATCATTGAGATTCTAGAACACTTGAATTAAACAAAAGCTGCAGCATTATATCACTTTGCTTAGTATAACATCAGGGAATTCTAAACATGCGTTATAATCAAGTAGACCAATCTGGTGATCCCACAGTCCTAAATATTAACTTAAAAGTTAGAGATTTTATGTTCAAGTTTTAAGATGGATGGGTAGAATAAGGAGACATTATCCGCACACATGGGGAGCAAAGAACTGCTTCAATGTCCTTTTTAAAATAATGTCAATTTCTCAAAAGCGCGAGGTGTTGATGACAAATAACATTCATGGGGCACCCTCCTTCTATGAGGTGGCCACAACAATGTCAAGGTGGTGTTGATTCCTGGTCAGGAATGTAATGATTCTTGTGCTTGACTGATATCAGGGGAAGGGTGGAGGTGCTGGTGGTATACTTGGCCAAGGAGATGAAGGAAGTTGAAAATCTGTTTGATCACTTCAGAAAGAAGTTCCACTGATCTGTCCAAAAAAAACATGGGGAACACAAGTTTTCACTTGCTTGCAAGCATGCCAACTGCTTTCAAGAGCTCTTGTCACCGAATATAAAGATTGAAGGAATACATATATACATACAGATTCGACATTTTTGAACTGGTGAAGAAGATTCTTCCTAGGATTTTGAATGTATGATTAAATCTCCTCCATTATTCATGGTTGCAGTAGCGTTGATGAATAATGTGTAAATTTGATGGAATGGTTTTATGGTTTTTGTGAGTATCCAACCTAAAAACAAATTGTCAATAAGTAAAATGACTCCTATTATATTTAAGTCTACAGGTTTCTCTATAATCGATGTGAGATTTCCCACTTAATTCTTTATGTAATTTCATCATCTGAATCTGAAAGTTAGCAAACTGAAACTTACCACAATATACCTAACCTTGGGACCAGTATGTCTCACTAGAGAATTATGTAAATTGTGTCTCACAGCAAAAGCTAGTTCTTTAAAGATGAAAGCAGGTGGGTCAAGGTGGGACTGATATGCAACAAATTTTCTTTATACCCAAATTCATCATTTAGGCAACTAGTTGTTTGTTGTTCACACAGCACAAGTACATAAACATTTCTCTATTTAATTCATGAATCATGCAAGAACAACTTCTTGTGCAAATATATTTTTTTTATTCTAACAGAAACAGAGAGTTTGAGACTGTGGCAATAACTAGAAATGAAGAAAATTAAGGATTGAACTTGTTTCTACTTTTGTTCACTCAGATTTCACAAATTATGGATGCTTGACAAACAAAAACCAAAACTCTAACTAATCAAATTGTTCATTGATCGATTCAATGCCATTTACACGAAAGAAATAAATCAGTGCAAACCTCGTGGAAAACTTCAAGTATCATCCCATGATACTCCCCAGAATTCATCGAAACATAGTAATTCAGAAGGCTACGTAGGTCCTTAGGCTCTTGAATCCGATTAGCCATGATCATCTCAACCATAGATTCCCTAAAATCCTCTCTTGGATCATAAGAACATTTCTCCATGGCCACCATCACAACAAACTTAGTCCCTTCACTTCTACTTCTCTGCCTCCTCCTCTCCTTATGTCTTGCTTCCTGCCTTTCTCTAATCATCTGGTCCAATCTCTCTTGAACCATGGCATGTGCTAGGCTAGAGATTGATGGGAACCGGTCAGAGTAGGAGCTCTCAGCTTCCTCGGATGAGGAGACACTTAGTCTGCAACCGCAACACAATGCCCTGCA